TCTCAGATGACCACTAGATGGCGTAATTGCAAACGGTATTTTAAAAAGTCGATTTTATACAGAAATTGTCCCTATAAGTGAAACATCTAGTAAGTTTAGTCAAAAAATCATAAAAAACCGTATTATTTATACACCAATTATTTGAATTAGGCAACCCTTATTATTTTCAAGTATTAAATCGGTTCGAGAAATTATTTTGAGACACGGTTTTTGCGGTTTGGTTTATTTTTTCCTTTGCTTTCGAATGCGTGTAAAATAATTTGATGGTAGCATTTGAAATTTTTGTGAAAAATTAAAACAAAGAAATTTTTTCGATCAGCGGATTTTTCTAGAATGAGTAAGATTGTTGTTATATTACGTATTGTCAAGTTCTTATTGCTCTTTCATTTGATAGTAAAAACTCTGAAATTGGTCAAGCCGTTTCAGAGTTACAGGTTTCTTTAAATTAAGCGGTTTGACTCTCCCCCCACGCTTTATTTGACAAGTTAGGAAAAAAGTTCATAAGGAAAGTAGTACGGTTTTTTATACAAGCGGATAGCCGCAGCACACGGCATAATGGTACAGTTGACGTTTCATCACTTGCCGCTTCGTGGCGGTAGTTTCAAATAGTTATTTTGTCTGCATATAAGGAAAATTAAGTAAGTCTAGTAGTAGAGAGTAGAAGAAACTAAAAATACTAAATGTTTTCTTGTATTGCCAATAACGATTTTTTTAATGATTTTAAGTAATGTAATGCTACCTAGACTAGATGTAAAATAAAATTTTAAACGAAACGAAAATCAGATTTCCATCAGAACATTCATTTCTTATTCAACAGTTTTACATATTTGTGGTAAATTTTTTGTGGAAAGAAATACTGAGTATGTATATCTTATCTTTATAATGTCAATTTCCACTGCAATATTTAAGTCCAACAATAACAAAAATAAAATAATAAAATCTAGCGTAACCACTTTTAAAATTCAACAGATGGCTTGACAACAACATCGGCTTAAATACGTCCACGTAAAAAATAATTACTTGGATTACGTACGTATATAAAAACGAAAATGTGAATTAATATTAATAATTATTATACAGGGTGTTTCAGAAATAAGTACCTAAATTTTAGATTACACTCGTAATTCAGAAAAGTCTTCAGAAAGTTTTCTTAATAAACAGTTAATATGAATCTGCCGTACTTCTTGTGTCCAACAAGTAATCCATCACAAAATGTAGGATATTCCTATAGAGCATAATGGTAAAGCGTAATGCATAATAGTAAATTCAATAAATAACAAAAAAATTATTGTAATTAAATTCGGTATAATATTGAGTACTTATGTGCGCATGCTGTGGTTAAAATTAAAATTATCAATCTGAATATAACAATGAATACTCAATTAGTAATTAAAGAGGGCGCAATTTTTTGGCGGCCGTCTTGGTTAGGAATAAATTTAATTTAATTAATACAATTTTAATTCAAATTTAATTAATACAGACAGCATGGTATCCAGTATTTTATTATTTTTCTTATGGAAATAAATGTATTTGAGGTTTCTATGCAACCGTTCCAAATGCATAGGTATTTGTATTCAAACTTGAATGTAACCTGTAACAATAAGCTCATGACTCAGTAGATGTTAGATATTTCTTTTGAAAATATTACCCAATCGGCTTGATTACCCAAATGGCTTTGTCGCAGAATCTCCTAATAAGTGAGAAATGGCTGACTTGATCATGAAATTAAAGGCATTTCTATCAACTTCTTGTAAAACTGCACGCAGTGTTTTATACGTCTGAATTTGCTTCTCTTTTTCACGTATTTTAGTCACATGTTTTCTCCAGGGGGGATATATAGGATATGGAAAATCTTATTGCTGATTGGTTGCCAGTCATGATACGTCAACCGTACCATTATGCCGTGTGCTGGGGCTATCCGCTTGTGTTTTTTATGATCTTTTGACTAAACTTATCAGATATTTCATTTATAAGGACAATTTCTGTATAAAAACGACTTTTTAAAATACCGTTTGCAATTACGCCATCTAGTGGTCATCTGAGAAATTTAAAAATAATTTCCAGCAAATTATTTTCTTCAAGTTTGTTATCAATTTTTTTTTTTTTTTCCGATGACTCTACAACACATACTTTCCAAGATACAGCCGCATATAATCCTTATTGCGACACCCTGTATAATTTTAACATGTCTTAATATGTATAATCTTGGTGTGTTTAATGTGTAATGTGGTTTAACAACAAATAATGTGACCCTTAAGTTTTTTGACAAAACGTTTTGACTATTTGTGATTTTAAGTGAACTGATGATGGTGGAAGGAAAAATTACTGAAACCCAGGAAACGAATTTTAATTTATTCATACTGAAGAACATTTATTTTCCCAAATTGTCTGTGAAATTCGGAAAATTATCCTTAGCCGACACGAATGTTCTCTGGATCCGCTCTTGCCCTTTAGTGTTTAACGGAAGACTTACCGAAAACCTCAAGTCGCCAATCGGAGGTTTTGCAAATGGAATGCCAGTGAATGCCACATAGGCGATATTGTTTGAAGACAATTCCCAGTTTCCTTTCACTGGCCCTAAGGTGGTGTTTAGAACTGGATTGACGCCTACATTAAACGGCATGAGGACCCTCAATACGAATGGTAGAACTGCCATTTACGTTTCAGGCAAAACACTAAAAATTGCATCAGATTAGGGAAAACCATAATCAAATTAAACACTAATTGACATATTTTATCAGCAATTAAACGTCTGATTATCGGTAGCAGCAAATGAAGCCAGCAAACCGAATATAAAAATTGTACCTACCCATACAGCATGTTATTGATGTGTAATTGTCGCTATTTTAACTTAACTAAAGTTGATTTCCTACCTTTTTAGTATTTCAGCGGCGAGCGAACTGTTGTACCGTTGCACATTGAACTTCGATAACTGAGAATTGCTTGCCATCAATTTTATTTCGGTCGGTATTCCTTATTGGCGGCTTTTAATCGCATCGAAGTAATTACTGATGGATTACGCATTCTAAATAAGTTCATAATCGATTATGTTATCGCACTGTATAAAAATAATACAGCTGCTAAAATATTCATTATGTTAAAATCAAATATTTAACCGAAATTTCAAGGTCGAACCGTGGGTACCAAGAACTGCCAGCTCTTTACTGGACGTTTCATGTTCACATATCAAGTTATTGTCTGAAACAACATTTCTCCAATTAACCAAACTCGTTTTGAAGTTTGCTTAATTAAGTGTAATTTATTAGACTATATAATCAGTGTTTGCCACGATCAACACATCAGCATGTAAGATAGACGGCGATATTTTGGGTTAATGAAACATGTTATTTTCCTAACTGGCAAAGATTTTACTTCTTCGCACGTGCCGATGATTGACAGCTTACATATTTTGAATGAAAGTTATTATTAACTATTAGTGTTTGTGTGTTTGTTTGGGCACATGATGAATTTTGGAAAATGTATGTCTCGAGTCGGGGGTCTAGCGCTCTGGATTGTGTGGAACTTCAGTCCAGCTGTTTACCTATTAAAACTCTCCTTACCATTCTTTTTCTTCTTCGGGTGCCATGTGCCATGCTGCACGTCGGCGACCATTCGTTCATTTCATGGTCACAGAATAGCTAGGGTGCCCTCCTCAGCCGGTCAAAAATTGTTGCGGCGTCCGGTATATTCCAATTGCGGAGCTAAGGATGTTGTTTTCGACCTGGCCCCTTTCTACCTTCGATTTTTCCTCGTAGTACTAGGTTTGGTATGGAGTAGCGGGTCCTCTCAGTATATGCCTCAGATATGACACTTTACGTTTTTTTACCATGTCCATTAGTTGTCTTCTTATTCCAGCTCTTCGTAGAACTTCATTATTAGTTGTGTGTGTTGTCCAGGGGATACGAAGCAATCGGCGGAGTGTCCACAACTCAAAACAATAGGCCATACATAACATTGTACTACACGTATTCGAGTGTGTAGTGGCATATATCTGTGAAGAAGTATATTCTTAAGTTTAAAGAAAGTTATTTCCGCACGACCAATTCTTCCCTTCACGTCTTCATCACATTCCCACTTTTCATTTAAACAAGCGCCAAGATAGGTAAATTTAGCGACACGTTCAATATTTTCTCCGTTGATGTTGAGAGTGGTAATACGCTGATTTCTGCTAATCACCATCATTTTTGTTTTGGTATTATTTATATGTAGTCCGAACTTTTCACCACATTCGTTGATTTTATTTAGTATTGACTGGAGGTCTTCAACGTTATTAGCCAGGATAGCGGTATCATCTGCGTAGCGCATATTGCTTATTGGGACGCCATTGACTTTGATACCTCGGGTTTCATTTTGTAATGCTAGTTGGAAGATTTTTTCCACATACATTTTAAATAGAATGCGGGACAGTACACATCCCTGACGCACTCCCGTCGAAATACAAAAGGTCTCCGTTGATAGCTCGCCATTAAGACGCACCTCTGCCAGCTGTTGCCAATACAATTCTTTCATTACTCTAATATCTTTATCATCTAAACCGATCTCCTGTAATATTTCCAGCAGCGCCTGGCTCGTGCTTTACGTTATCAAAAGCTTTTTGATAATCGATAAAGCAGACAAAAACATTCTGCTTTTGGTCATAGCGTGTCACTACTCATATCCTCACACTTTCTGTAGATTCTTGAGTGAATTACTCGAATGAACGATTTGAGCATATAGTCTTCGCAATTTCTGGAGTTTGCTTTTTTTGGAATGACAGCAAACGTAGACCTTAACCAATCCCTGGGGATCTGCCCAGAGTCATCTACCACGTTGAAGAGATATGTAAGATGTTTGATATTTACTTGCTTCAAAACTTCTGCATATATCTCGTGATGACCGGGACTTTTACCACTCTTCTTACAATAGTGTTTGTGGGGTTATTTGCACGCAGGTCCTTGAAGAGTGCCTCCGTGTAATTCCTCCAGGCTTCTTTTAGTTTGTCAGTATCTCATATCGGTCTTCCTTGTTGATTTCTTATTAACGGCAACCCTGTTCTTATACTCGCTCCAGTTATTTCCTTTACCTTTCTATGGAAGTTAAAGAAGTCATGCAGCTGATGAAGTCTCTCAGCTTCTTCACACTGTTCCTGAGCCCATTTCTCTTTAGCTTTCTTTATTTTCTTCTTAATAGTGCGATCTAGTTCTTTATATCTATCATGCTGGCTTTTAACAAGTCGACGCTCATTCATCAAGTTCAATAGTCAAAAGTCGATCAAGTACAATTTCCGCAGCCGCATGAATGTTTGTTCTCAGCGTATTCCAGATATCGTCAGCTGCAGCTTCCAGTCTGCAGCTTGCTTTCCTGGCACGGTTTGTCTAATTCAGTTTTCATGCTTTCTTGCATTGCGGGCTGTTTCGATGCCCGAATGTCGTATTTACGGGGTCCTCGCCCTTTAGATAACAGTTTATATCTAAGACTGAAGTTCGCAACAACGGGGTTATGATCTGAGTCGATGTCTGCTCCTAGATATGCTGCCACACGTGTGATGCTGTTCTGATCTCTTGTTAATTAAAATCTAGTCAATTTGGTTGCGGACGATATTTCCTTGTCTATCTTGAGGTTATTTCCAAGTATAGAGTTACACCCTCTACAACACCGCTGCCGACCTTTGCATTAAAATTACCCTTTACCACATTGACATCTTGAAGTTTTAATGACTGCAGAACATCTCGGACTTTAGGCCTACATGTTCCACTATTAGGCCATCTTGTCTCAGCTATGCCAAAAATGTCAATATTCATTCTTTCCATCTCCTGAATTGCGTTCTTCCTGCCGCTCTTAGCACCCTCTGGTTGCTTTTGGTTTTCTTGCCATGATAAAGAGTGGGTGGACAAAGTGACGTCCTGGGGAAACTTGCTTGTCTTGTGGTCATCGTAGGTTTCCGTTACTTTCGATGACATTGGGGGTGACATTTCTATCATCCTCGATATTAGGTTATACCGCCTGTGATCGGTCGTCAGAGCCTCGTCTGTTAAAATAGGGTAAGCCGGCGAGAAGGTGAGGTTGACATTTGAGTAGGAGAGGCTGTTTGAGCCGCATCACTACCCCTTAAACCGTTCATCATTATCCCAATTAATCTCAGAAGGATTTGGAAATGTGGTCTTCCTCGTTCTGTTGTATTCTATTGTATATGCACATTATATGTAGAATTGTTTCATCCTTCGCGTCGCACCTTTTGCAGGGGTACACTCTTTCTAAAAAGACGTTTGGGGATGGTTATAGGGGCGTGTGTTGTCGATAATTGATTCTTGCTCAATAATCAAATCACTCGGGCGACAATAAACTCCAGAGACACCCTTAAATACTATACTGGGCACTGATTGTTTATGTGTCAGGTTATAGCGATAAGAGTGGAAGTACCGAGTAGGAACCCTTTTAGGCGGGGTCAGTCTGGTAGACGACGAATTAGTAAACGGATGTTATCAGATCGCTCATATGTGTATTGAAATTAAGGGAATTCAAAGTGGTGTATGTGTGCTTTTTCTTACAAAGCAGCGGAGGGATATTAAAAACTTTCGTGCCCTGTCGAAATTATTAAATGTGTCCGCAAAATGGGTAAATCAAAATAGAGAGATAAAAACGATAAAAGTAAAAAAAAAACAATCGTTCGGGAAAGTGCTGAAACGCAGAAAACATGATGTGTCGAGTAGTAATAGTAGTAGTAGTTCTTCTGATTCGGATGTGTCTGTGTTGTCCAAATCCAAAGATCGTCGATATGTGTCAAAACAAAAATTTGACCTGATGCAACAAGAACTGATCAGTTTACGACGTCAGACAATGATTCGGGCCGGAGGCGAACTCTATCTCGATACGTCTAATCCCGATATTCGATCCGTCACGTGATGAGATGCAAGTGGAAAAATGGATACAAAAAGTGCACTGTTTAGCGGAAAAAATCAAGTGGGACGACGATACAATTATCGGGGGCAATTGCACACGTGCTTCAAAATTACCGATAATTTATATATGGTGGCGAAAAAACCCGACTCCGAAGGAGGAGGGCTTTTTCGTTCCAATGTGAAAATAAACGAATTACGTTTTTACAGGACAACATGCTCCAATGCAAAATAATTTGTTTATTTTGATTCACGAGTGTACCTAATTTTTATGAATTTTTCTTCAGTAAACAAAGTAAATGTGGTTTGATTTTATAACTTTCATATCCTATTAAAAACGACGTTACTTTATTATTGCTGCCATTATTGTCTAAAAAAGCCTATTCTAAAAGTAGCAGGACCTGCAATTAAACGTGCAGTTAAAATATGTGTTACTTTTAGCGGTTGTTCCAGCTGAATTGGTGCGAACTGCAGGAACACTTGATGAAGAACATTCTGAAGATACCGCTGTTTTACACATTCTTGGCTGGGCATCAGCACCATAATTGTCTCTCATTTTTCCAATTATTTGCAGATGATGTTCATAATCCATTTGGGAATGTCTAGTAATTTTTATTAACTGCTATACTTCAACCTCTTCCTTGGCCATTTTTGAAACGGCTGTTGCTCGCAGCGAATGATTTGTCAGTTTTTTTGAGACAGTAGCTAGACCCGCTTTTTCTTCTTGCTTGAAAGTCCATTGACTGATCGTATTCCTACCAGAAGATACATTTTTGTATCATTCACCCGTTTTCTACGCAGATGCAGGGTTTTATCCTTTATCGATTAACATGTAGTTTGTAACTTCAATTATTTTTTCTTTGAACCACTCACCAGAACTTAAATTATTTTTTGTCACAGATTGTCTGTGAAAAGAAGTTCCAAGTGGATCAACATTTGAAAACATCTATGCATAAAGCCAAGTTGCAAAAGATAAAATCTGGTCCCGTTCAGCAGTCTGTGAAAACAACATTTCAAAATGTCGGAGACAAAACATGAAGCGAAACGGAGGTGTTTCATCAAGACTTATGCAAAGCTTTAGTCGCGGCGAATATTCCTTTAAAAAAGCTTCAAAATACCCAATTCAAAGAATTTTTACAAAAATATTGTAACAAAAA